TGAGGCGTCTGGGGCGGTTTTGGGAGCCTCTTGGGCTGCCGTGCAGCGCGCCCAAGCCGTCTACCAGTGTATTGTAAAATTATAAGTTTTCCATCGGATTTGGGCGATTTTCGCCTTCGGGGGCTTTCTTGGGAAGTCTCTTGGGCCTCTCTGGGTGCGCTTTGGGAGCCTCTGAGGCTGTCTTTGCGCCATCTTGGGCGTGTTGCACTCCTCTTTGTCTATTTTCTCGAGCTGCAGCGTGCTTGGACAGAGTCAGAGTGTGGTCTCGGGGCCCCTGTCCTCCCATGCGGTGCGGAGGTCCTTGGGCCCGGCCAGGGAGCCTCGGTCCCTCGGGACATATTTTTATATATATATATAGACATATATATATATATATATATATATGTATATGTTTCGCATACACATGCGTATCTCAGGCGGTTGTGGCCTGATCAGTTGCTCAGGGCATCTCGCAACTGAAAGGTGCGAGGGTCTCGGGCGAAAATGGCCAGATTACCATGGGACAACGCATCGCCGAGGTCAGTGTGCGAGGATGTTTCAAGCGAAAATGGCTTGAACACTTCCGCTCAGGACATACCGGAAACTCAGGTTGCGAGGATGTCTCCAGCGAAAGCGGCCTGAACACCTCAGCTCAGGACAGACTGGACCTCAGTGACGCGAGGATGTCTCAAGCGAAAGTGGCGGAATACCATGGGGCAGGGCATCTCGGAACCCAGAGCTGCGAGAACGTTTCTAGCGAAAGTGGCCCGAACACCCCAGCTCAAGGAGCCCTGAAACGTAGAGTTGCGAGAAAGTCTCAAAGCGGAAGTGGCTGGACCACCTTGGGGGCAGGGCTTCTCCGAGGTCAGAGTTCGGAGGAGGTCTCAGGCCACAGTGGTCTGATTTCCTCAGCTCAGGGCACTTCGGAACCGAAAGTTGCGAGGATGGCTCTGGCGAAAGTGACCGGATTATAGCAGCTTAGGACATCCCCAGACGCAGAGTTGCGAGGGTGTCGCATGCGGAAGTGGCCGGACCACCTTGGGGTAGGGCACCTCCGAGGTCAGAGTTGCGAGGATGTCTTAGGCGCAACTGGCCCGAGCACTATGGGGCGGGGCATCTCCGAAGTCAGCCTTGCGAGGAAGTCTCAAGCGAAGAGTGGTCTGAACACCTCACCTCAGGGCATCCCGAAATCCAGAGTTGCGAGAAGTCGCAGGCGAAAGTAGGCTAACCACCTTAGTGCAGGGCACCTCCGAAGTCAGACTTGCGAGACTGTCTCAGGCGAAATTGGCCTGAACACCTCAGGCCAGGGCGTCTCGGACTCCAGAGTTGCGAGGATGTCTCAGGCGAAATGGCGGGACCACTGCGAGGCAAAGCGTTTCCGAGGTGGGAGTTGTGAGCATACCCGGGCGAAGCGGATCTCATGACTCCCTCTTGCTCCTCCCCCCTCCTCGTTTTCTGTTTGGGTGATACTCGCCACTCGTCCTCCGCACTCCCCTTGCGTATAATTCCCTCTTCCTGTTTCTTCATTTTCTTATTCGCGTTCTCCTGGTCCACATCCTCTTCCTCCTCCTCTCCTCCTCATCCTCCTCCTGAGTTGCCGGCCGGGCCGGGCCGAGCAAAGCCAGCGGGCTGGCCGAAACGGTGACGACGACGATGACGACGACGATTACGACAACGAACGACGACGACGACGACGTGTGGACGGCTGGCGCCCTCCCGGGGCGTCCCTCCCGGCCACGAGGACGACAACGACGACGACGACGACGACGACGACGACGACGACGACGACGACGACGGCGGCAGCGACGGCGACGGCGACGACGACTGGGTCACAATGTGGAATGTCATGGGAGCAAAATCAATGAATGTTGGCATTCGGAAACATCGTGGGGGTGTTTTCGGGGCCCTCGTGGGCCGTTTTGGCGCCTTCATGGGCCGTCCGCCGCGTCATGAACAACGAGGGGAATGGGACGATTTTTGTGTTTCGAAGGCCCCTTGGAAAGCTTTTTGGGGTGCCTTGGGGGTCTTTTGGGCCGTCCTGAAGCACTTGGAGTCCCTCTTGGAGCGCTCTTGTGCTGTCTGGGGCCGCCCTTGAGCCTTTCTGATGACCCCTCTGATCGCTCTGGGTCTGCTGGCAAGGCGTTTGTGGAGACCCAGAAAGCCGGGTGACCTTTTCCAAGGACGTCCAAGGGAGCCCGAGAACCCCAGATCCCGGGAATCCAGTTCTTTTTTTTGGGGGGGGGGGATGGTTTCCCCCCCCCGGGCTTGTAAACATATAGGAAGCGGAATCTATATATATATATGTATATATATATGTATATATATATATATATATACATACACACACAGACAACATATGTTGCCGCCCCTGTGGGACGTCGCGCCTAGACCTCCCTCCCTGGCCGCGCCGCGGGAGGCCGCGGCCCGGCAGCGGCACGCGGCCCCCGCCGCGGCCGGTCGCCCGGCGGACGCCGCGTGCTCCGACGGCGACGGGGCGAGCACGTCCGCCGCGCCGCGGCCGGCGGCCGGCCGCGGCGCTTCCTCCGCGGGGTGCTGGGCGGGGGCAGCGACGCATCCTCCGACCGCGACGCCTCCTCCGCGACGCTTCCTTCTGGCGCCTGCGGCGCTTCCTCCGCGGGGTGTGTCTGTGTTGCTTGGAGCCTCAGTGGGCATTGCAGGAGCAGTCATGGGCACTGCAGCCCCCGGGCCCCCCCCCTCCCCCTTCCCCCCTTGTGGTGACGCAGCGTGAAGTCGGGCCTGTCCCTCTGCAGGAGGAATGTTCAAAATGGGTCCAAAAATGGTCGGGGGACGATCTTTCGAGCACTTCGGGGCATGTTTTGGATATGTTTTGAATATTTAATACTCTTCGTAGAAAATCCGCCTGTAGGGGGACATGCCCGACCTAAGCGTAACGCCCCTCCCTCCCCAGTGTGCTCCGGGCCCTGACGCCGTGCGCACGGCCGGGGGGGAGGCGTTATATTATACCCCCCCTCCTGGCCCCTTCCCCCCCTCTATGATGCCCGCTTTCGCCGAAAATGAAGAAACGTGCTCCAGGCTATATTTTTTAGGTGAGCGAAGGCTTCGGAGGTTGATCGACCTCCTACCCTGACACGTCGATTAGCGAATGGGCCGTTTTCGGTTCGCGAGAGGGCGTCGCGGCCGTCATTTTTGCAGCTGTAGGTCCGTCGGTAACAGCGAAGACTGATAGGTTTGTAGTAGGGTCAAACGAGAGCATCATGACTCCCCAGGGGGGTCTGGGCGGGATCTGGGGACGGGTGCCAGGGATTTCTTTCTTAGCAAACAGTAACGCCTGGGCATGATTTTGAATGCTCGGAGCCAACTGTAGGCCACTTCGTGTTCTTCGAGTTCCCAGAACTCTATTCCTGGGCATGATTTTGAATGCCCGGAGCCAACTGTAGGCCACTTCGTGGTCTTCGAGTTCCCAGAACTCCATTCCTGGGCATGCTTTTGAATGCCCGGAGCCAACTGTAGCCCACTTCGTGTTCTTCGAGTTCCCAGAATTCCCTTCCCGGGCCACATGTTGAATGGTGAGGCAGGCTGAGGCTGAGGCTGAGGCAGGCTGAGGCTGGCTGAGGCTGAGGCCGAGGCTGAAGGCAGACTGAGGCTGAGGCTGAAGCAGGCTGAGGCTGAGGCCCTCCACCCTCTGATTACCCTCTTACCCTAGAAGTGTGGCCCGGCGCTCCATGACAGAGTCTGGATTGTTGGGAGCACCGAGCAAAGTGTTGATCGGGGCTCGCTGCCGTCATGCTCAGAGCGTAGATCGAAACTGCTTTCCATGCTCCCTTGCCGACCTTGGTGGTTGCAGCGAGATGCGCACAGCTCCCCTGGGTGTGTCCGTAGCCGTTTTGGCTCCAGCAACCGCGGCCCGAGACCCCCCGGCCCCCGCGCGCGCCGCCGTTGGGGCCGCGCCCTTCCGGGCCGCCCCAGCGGGCGCTCGCCCGACACCCGGGGCTGGGAGTGCTCCCGCGCGGACCCTCGGCCGGCGGGCCTCTCGCTGGCCAGAGCCGGACGCGCCGCCGGAGGTGGAGCACGCGGCGCCGTTGCGGGAACACGCGCCGCGGAGCATGGCGGGCGCGCCCGACGAGCAGCTGCCGAGCGAGCTGCGGGAGGCCGTCGAAGAGCACCGGCCCGCCCTGCGGGAGGCGATTGCGCAGCTGAAGGCGGAACTGCGGCTGGGCGTGGGGGCGGCGCTGGAGTTCTTCGGGGGAGGAGATCGCGAGGTTGGCGCAGGCCGAGTCGTTGGAGGGCCACGCCTCGCGCGATTGCGCGGCGGCGGCGGCGCCCGAGGGGTGCGCGCGCTCGGATCCCAAGGCCCGTGCCCGTCAGCGCGGCCTCGGGCACGTGGCCGAGGGCGAGGACCGCGGCGAGCCCAGCGGCGGGGCCCGCGGCGACGTGGAGCGGCAGACGTCAGGGGCGCGCGACTCCAACGGCATCGTCGAGGCCCAGAACTCGAGCCAGAAGTCGACGAGCGTGGAGGACCGCGGCGAGCCCCACGGCGGGGCTCGCGGCGTCGTGGAGCGGCAGGTGTTAGAGGCGTGCGAGGCTGAGAACGTCGAGGTCCGAAAGTTGAGCCGCACATTGACAAGGACGGAGGCGAACTTCAACGGTTTCAAGGCCCACAGCCTCCTGAGGGACTACAATGATGGCAGAGGTTTCTCACGCGGTTCCGAGTTCAACCGGAAATGGGTCAGCAAGCTCATGCTGAAGTATCAATCGATGGGTGCCACGCCGAACTTGTTCCCGTTCCACGGCGCGGAGGAGCTGAGGACCCGCCTGTATCGGGTGCGCAGGAACTCCTTCGACTATTCCATGGCTGCCATCATCGTTATGAGCGCCATCTATTTGGGAAATCAAACTGCGTGGGTTCTGCATAGCGTTCTGGAGCATGGCCACATAGACAACGGCCAAAGATGGTTTTGGCTAGCGGGCGACATTGCATTCGCGCTCGTGCTCTTAGTCGAGCTGACCCTCCGGATTTTCGCCTACCAGGTCAAGTTCTTCACGGGAAGTCAGAGGTGGTGGAACGCATTCGACTGCTTCACGATGAGCGCCGCGATCGCCGCGGTCCTGCTGGACCTGTTCCGGGTCCCGGATAGCTTTGGCGTCGACCTCCTAAAAGTGGTGCGCCTCGCCCGAATAGCGCGGAGCCTGAGAGCATCCAACTCTAAGATCTTCCACGCCCTGAAGACTCTGAGCTACACCGTTGCTGGGAGTGCAAACGCATTCTTGTCCGCCATATTTCTTTTGGCGGTTGTCATATTTGTATTTTGCGTCATGTTCATGCAGGGGCTGCAGTCGTGGGTTCTTCGGAATGATGGGAGCGATGCGGATACGAGGGCCGGGCTGGTTGAGTTTTTTGGATCTGGTACGACAGCGTTTCTTACGCTTCTGGCGTGCGTCACTGGTGGAGTAAACTGGATGGACGTGTCGAACGCGCTGTTGAGCATGGGCCCTTTCCACGCGTGGTTTTTCGTTCTGTTCATCGTGTTCACAGTGCTCTGCGTCTTGAACATTTTGAATGGTGTTTTCGTAAATGTCGCCATCGTCTCTGCCCAGACGAACAAGGAGCTGGCCGTGGACAGAGCCTATGATCGAGCAGATGGCGCAGTGGTTCGCCGAGGCGGACAAGGACCGCTCGCGCACCGTGTCGTGGCAGGAGCTGCGGAATCTGCTTGCAGAGGATACCGTGCGTGCGTTCCTGCAAGCTAACAAGATCGATGTCGCAAGCGCCGGCCACATCTTCTTGCTCCTGGACCGGCAAGGTCGCGGGGAGATCAGGCCCGAAGAGTTTGTGGATAACCTGATCACACTGCAGGGCGAGGCCGAGGCCATCGATCTGGCATCGCTCCAGCTGGCGTGTGAGGACATGGCGCAGCGGGTCATCGAGATGGAGCAGGCGCTCTTCGACGGCCTCGGCTTGCGGCCTGGCGCGCGGTCTCGATCGACGCGACGGCCTCGCCTGACGCGCCCGTCGGATGCGGAAGGCCAGGAGAGGGAAGGAGGAGGTGTGGTGATATGGGGGGGGGGGGGAGGAACCCGATGGGCCGTGTGCCCATCGGCGTCGAGTTGTGTTCTCACGTTTTTCTGCGTCTCACCGCTCGGGCGACTATTGCGGTCAAGTGTCGATGGATAGCGTGTCTGGGGGAAACGGTCTACCCGCGCTAAGCGCCTCCGCACTTAGCGTGGAACCTAGTTCACCGCACTTAACGTGTCTTGGGTTGGTGAACTCGGACGCCAGCCCAAGACGCGCTAAGATCGTTGGGTTTTCGGCGTGCGCCGTGCTGCGTGGCTTGGGCCATCCGCCACATCAGCAACATCCACTTCGCTTTGAGTTGTTTTCAACAGCAAATCCTTTTCTCTTCCGCTCCTTTGCGTGCGTTGCCGCCTTTTCTTCGTTCCCCTTTCCGTTGCCCTGCCAGGGTGTCTCAGGGTAGGTAAATTGTGAGGGGGTGTCGAGCGGGGGCCGTTGTTGTCGTAGCTGGGCCTCCAAGGGCCCACTTTTAAGGTCAAGTCAACGCTCGAGCGGGAGCTTCGTTTTCAGAGAAAATGTAGCAGGCGTCGAGGCGAGAGCGCGCGGAACCGTTTCCGGAGATCAACCGTTTCCGGCCCCCATCCCCCGTCTTCGAGCCCTGCTTCCGCTTTCACTGGAACCTAGTGCCGAAACTCGCGGCCCAGAAAGCCGCATACGCTATCCATCGATACTTGACCGTATTGACCATCCTTGCTTACTGGTGTACTTGCAGAGCTGCCAGTTGTGGCCCGCATGATGTGCACTTGCGCAATGCAAGTGCCTTTGAAGAGTTGCAAGTTGCGGTCCGAATGAGGTGCGCGCGCGCAACAACGTAATCGCGCGTGCAATGCGCCGTGGATAAAAATCATCATGGCGAAGGACCCGACCTATGAAGTTGTGGGTGCCGCAATTGTGAATCTCTTCTTCGGTGAAGCTCCTTATGGGGCCACGAAGCGCTGCGCTGCGCGGGGGGGGAGCGCGCGCGGGCGGTAGCACTGGGGCCGTCGGCGAAGCTCCCTATGAGGCCATGCAATGCTGCACTGGGTGGGTGCAAATACAAAATTCGGCGTGTGGGACGCACGCGGGCTGTCCCATTGGGGGCTTCGGTGGAGCTCCCTATGGGGCCGCGAAGCGTTGTAAAGGGTGTGCGAACATGCCAAATTGGGCGTGGTGGGCGCATGCGGGCGGCTCCACTCGGGGCTTCGGTGGGACTCCCTATGGGGCCACGGAGCGCTGTGCTGGGTCTGTGAAAATGCCAAGTTGGGTGTGGAGGACGCATGCGGTCGGTCCCACTGGGGGCTTCGGTGGAGCTCCCTGTGGGGGACGCATGCGGGCGGTCCCACTGGGGGCTCCGGTGGAGCTCCCTATGGGGCCACGAAGCGCTGTATTGGGCGGGTGAAAATGCAAAATTGAGCGTGGGGGACGCATGCGGGCGGTTCCACTGGGGGCTTCGGTGGAGCTCCCTATGGGGCCACGTGGGTGGGTGACAATGCCACATCGGGTGCGGGGGGCGCATGCGGACGGTCCCACTGGGGGCTTCGGTGGGGCTCCCTATGGGGCCACGAAGCGCTGTACTGGGTGGGTGACAATGCCAAGTTGGGTGTGGGGGACGCATGCGGGCGGTCCCACTGGGGGCTTCGGTGGAGCTCCCTATTGGGCCACGAAGCGCTGTACTGGGGGTGTGCAAAATACCAAATTGGATGTGGGGGAAGCATGTGGGCGGTCACAGGGGCTTCGGTGGAGCTCCCTATGGGGTCACGAAGCGGTGTACTGGGCGGGTGAAAATGCCAAATTGTGCGTGGGGGACGCACGCGGGCGGTTCCACTGGGGGCTTCGGTGGAGCTCCCTATGGGGCCACGTGGGTGGGTGACAATGCCACATCGGGTGCGGGAGGCGCATGCGGACGGTCCCACTGGGGGCTTCGGTGGGGCTCCCTATGGGGCCACGAAGCGCTGTACTGGGTGGGTGACAATGCCAAGTTGGGTGTGGGGGACGCATGCGGGCGGTCCCACTGGGGGTTTCGGTGGAGCTCCCTATCGGGCCACGAAGCGCTGTACTGGGGTGGATGTGGGGGAAGCATGTGGGCGGTCACAGGGGCTTCGGTGAAAATGCAAAATTGAGCGTGGTGGACGCATGCGGGCGGTCCCACTGGGGGCTTCGGTGGAGTTCCCTATGGGGCCCCGAAGCGATTTGCTGGGTGGGTGAATATGCCACATTGCTCGTGGTTGACGCATGCGGGCGGTCCCACTGGGGGCTTCGGTGGAGCCCCCTGTGGGGCCACGAAGCGTTGTGCTGGGTGGGTGACAATGCCACGTGGGGTGTGGGGGAGGCATACTGGGTGGTTGACACTGTCAAATAGGATGTGGGGGACGCATGTGGGCGGTCCCACTGGGGGCTTCGGTGCAGCTCCCGATGGGGCCACGACACGTTGTACTGGGTGGGTGAAACTGCCAAATTGGACGTGGGGGGCTCATGCAGGCGGTCCCACTGGGGGCTTCTGTGGAGCTCCCTATGGGGCCACGTAGCGTTGTGCTGGGTGGGTGGCAATGCCAAGTTGGGCGCGGGGGACGCATGCGGGCGGTCCCACTGGGGGCTTCGGTGGGGCTCTCGATTGGGCCACGAAACGCTGTACTGGGTGGGTGAAACTGCCAAATTGGATGTGGGGGACGCATGTGGGCGGTGCCATTGGGAGCTTCGGTGGGGCTCCCTTTGAAGTCACGAAGTGCTGTACTGGGTGCGTGAAAATGCCAACTTGGGCGTGGGGGGGGCGCATGCGGGCGGTCCCACTGGGGGCTTCGGTGGGGCTCTTCATTGGGCCACGAAGCGTTGTGCTGGCTGGGTGAAAATGCCAAATTTTGTATGGGGGACGCATGCGGGCGGTCCCACAGGGGGCTTCGGTGGAGCTCCCAATGGGGCCACGACGCGTTATACTGGGTGGGTGAAACGCATGGAAGAATGAGGAGGGAGGGGAGGAGGAGGAGGAGGAGGAGGAGGAGGAGGAGGAGGAGGAGGAGGAGAGGAGGAGAGGAGGAGGAACGCGGGGCGACGTCTCTTCAAAACGAGGACCCAGCACCACAGGATGGTTGTGAAAAAATAGCTCCCCCAGGTGTGATCAGGGGCCGTTGTTTGGGATTTCTTTGGTCGAGGCATCATCACGTGAGCAGTTTGCCCTTCCTAGCTTCAGCTGCGACAAAGGGTGTTCGCGTCCTTCGCGGCAGCACGACTAGACAAGGCATGAACAGTTTAGGGGCCATTGGTTGGCGCCAGATGTCTTCGACTTATTTCTGGGATCTTGAGCGCAGTAGTGTAGGGGCCGGTCCATGTTCTTAGCACCCACGGCATGTGGCAATGGTGTCAACGTTTCGTTGCAGGCTTGTCGCCCTGTGGCCACAGTTGGGTGCCATGACCGCAACACTCCTGTGCCTCTTGCTGCTGCCCATCCTCCGCTTCTAGCGTGTGGGGTGCTCTGGGGTCCGTCTGCCTGGGGATCGCCGCGTGCCGTATGCCACGCCAGCGTGCATGAGCGTATACCTTCTTACCCAGACCCCCGCGATGTGAAACAATCACGACGGAAGGTGTTTCGCAATATTCGGCTTCTGGGAGCCATTTCCCGATCTCGGGGCCGTCAAAAAAACGATTCAGGTTGAGAATCCAGTCCTGGGCAATGGGTCGAGACCTCTGGGGGTCGTCGTTGTGACAACAATCGTGACGTCGGGGGGGCTGGGTAGGTTGCAATCTCATACGGCATGCGGTGCGAAAGGGAGCGGCACATCAGAGGAGTGCTGTAGGTAGTTTTGGCGCGAGCACGATGAATGCCGCCCTTTACACGCGATTGGATATAGTTGCCATTTGCAAGATGAAAGGAGTTTCCATTTGCAGCTATATGCGGCGGACCTGGCGATCATGTCAGCGCATAATGTTGACAGCGCATGTTTGCCTCATCGTGCGCCAGTCATGGTTCCACCATTGTACTACGTTTCCGTTCTAGTTCTCTATAGACTCTTCCGGTTTCGGTGGGCCCCCAACACGGTATTGGGCTGTCTTGGGGCCGATGGCCCTATTGAGCTCTCTAGAAGGTGCCCGGCATCAGTAGAACTTTGCCTCTGTGCCCATCCGGGCCCCCCAGCGCTGATAGGTGTAAACGTTGTTTTACGGCGCCCTATATCGGTTTACATTGCCGATGTCTTCTGATTTGGGCACGGTTGTTCGACCGATACCTTTTGATTTGGCGCAGTGGTTCACCGAGCTCTTGTAAGAAGGCTCGTTGTAACCGTTGTGGGGCTGTCAAGACAAGTATTGGGCCGTCCTCGACCAGCTTCGGGGCGGTATTGGGCTGTCCTTGGGATTTCCTGAGCCCTCGTGGGCCTTCTCGGGTTCGTCCTGGAGTTGTCTCGGGGCTGTGCTCGGCCAACCTGGGCAGCCTCGGCGGGCTTCTCAGAACAGTATCGGGGCCTTCGGAAGCATTCCTGGCGCAGGTGTAAGCCCTTGGCGTCGCGTGTGCATCTCATCTCGGCGAGGAGCATCTTGGATCGCCTTGCGAAACGGAATATCCACGCGCGAAAAGCAGACGCACGCACGGAGGATGGACGTGTCCGAGCGACGGCAAGAGCCCGAGAGAAGCGGGGGGCCGCGGAGATTACGGTCGGACCGAGATATGTAAGATCGAGGTCGGTTCGGAGAGGGCACCCTAATCGGCGGCGCACGAGGGGGGAAGTGAGAAGGAGAAGGCCTTCTCAGAAGGCGGCAGGACTTCTCAGAAGCCCTCGCGCCTTCTGAGAGGTCGTCTATGTCTTCGGGGAGGGCTTAGAACACTTCTCAGAAGGCGGGGGGACTTCCGAGCCTTCTGAGAAGGCCCGCCCCGTCTCACTTCCCCCCGAGCTCGCCTCCCACCTAATGTTCTTCGCGTGCGTGTGTGTGTGTGTGTGTGTGTGTGCGTGTGTGTGTGTGTGTGTGTGTGTTGGATGTCCTTGTGCATCCTGGGGGAGG